ACTGAGTGCTTCTAAGGGTCGTAGTTCACAAAAATACTATGCTTCATTGGACAAAATGAGTCAAAGATAGGTTCCAGAGGACTATGGGAAGGTGCACATGTTTTTATTATGACCGTTTTACCTTGCTTTCTTTGTCTCTTTAGGTTTCTTTCTGACTCACTTCTCACTTCCTGATTTTACTCCCTTTTTTAGTCCTATTTTCCCAGTCCACCCTTCTTATTCATTCCATGAGTATTTTGTTATCGACAGCCGCAGCCCTCCACCACCATGTCTTGATAGTTTTTCAACACCACACGTTCCTCCTGGTCCAGGTAGAGGAGAGCGATGGGGCTAAGGGCCGTTGGGACACAGCAGGCCCGCGGCACGGCCCCATTTACGGAGTTGACCAGCGTCTGCACCATAGCATGGCTAGATGAATTCATATGGTCAGCCAGTGGGAAGCGGCACTCTCCGAGGCAAAAGAAAGCATCGTAACCAGACGGGGCCACGATCCATTTATTCCAGCCTACATCTTTGAAGTCCACATACAGTGGGTGTCGACGGCAGCGAGCGCGGGAGAGCCGTTTGAGCTTGGCAGCCCTCCCACCTTGTCGTTTCACTCGCTTTTCATTCCATCCCACCCGCCAACTTGTGTCAGAGCCCTGACCCCTATCACCCTTAAACCTGCCCCCGGTCCATCTGCCCCTGCCTCGTCTGCCAGCAGGGGGCTGCTTTTTGAGGGGCACAAAGGGCTTGCTGCGCCCATCGTGACTATAAGTCACCAGTAAGGGCCTCTGCCTCGCCCAGCTGTGCACATCCTGCCCGGTGAACCTGCGCACCCGCAGATGTCTCTCTTTGGAGAGACTGCTGTTATTATCAGCAATAACGTCCAGAATAAAAGACAGGCTCCCTGACTTCTCGGATAGATTCTGAAACACTTCTCCGTCCAGGGGAAAGGTTTCCCAGAGTTCTGTAGTCTTTCTATCTCTAGTCAGCTGACGTGAATGGAGTAGTGTGGGCTTTGAAACAGGGTCACTGTTTGAAAGATAAAGGCTGACCACGTGAGAGTCTTCCTTTGATCCTTCATGCAGGAAACGCAGCTCTGCCGACACCACACTCTCTTCTGAAGGAATGGAGGACAGATTGAAGCCAATGTGAATGCTGTCCGCTGTCACTTTCTGCTCTTCTGGAACACTCAGGACTGTAGAATCTAGAGTGAGAAAAAAGAAAGACAAAGTTCTTAAGCTGTAAAATACTTTCCTTCCATCATGTTCAAACACTTGCTCTCTGGATAATGGCATAATTGTCCAACTAAATAATAATTGCACATAATTTGCTAGGAGCACTTATGAAAA